AGACTAAAACTAAGAATTGTATACCCTATCCCAGACTAAATGACAGAAAATACGGTTTTACAATCGATTGCAATCAATATTTACTAACGTTTTTATTGTTTTTGGTCGGCAGAAAGCATAGCCTATTCGCCAGACAAAAACGACCAGAACCCTATCCCAGACTAAAATGATACCCTATCCCAGACAAAATGTCAAAAAATGATACCCTACCTCAGACCCAAAAGCCCAAAAACCATACCTTATAGGGCGGCACATACCCGTATAGCAAATATAGGAGTACCCCCCCCCCCCAGGGTTTATTGTACATTTAATTAATCATACCCTTAGTGACTAATGTCATTTAGCTACTTCTCTCTACCCCAAAAGCGGATGTAAGACGTGAGCAGGTTCCAACACAGAACAGACCTTTCTTATCTGCCTCTCTAGTTCAAGTTATTATTGTTTATTTATTTATATATTCTATTTACTGGGATAATTACAGCCTTTCTCAATCACACACACCTTCTAGCGATTGTTTCTATCACAACAAAACGTCAATCAAGGGGTTTCAATAACATTGTTGGAAAATACAAAGTTTAAGTTTTCAAGAGGATTTGCCTATGGAATGTTGTGAAAACAGTACAGAAATTATAAGGATGAGTCTTCTTTTTCTTCTTCAATTTTTTATGAATTTATTCTGAGCTTTCGGCTCACAAATTGACAGTTCACAAATACTCCATTTTACAGTTCCATTCAGTGACCACAAATAATAGTTCCTAGCCGAGGCTGGAGTTTCCGCGCATAGTAAAACTACAGTTTATCATGCAGGGTAACTCCAGCCTCGGCTAGGCAACTATTATTCATGGTCACTGAATGGAACTGTAAAATGGAGTATTGGCAGTTCACAAATTCTTAAGATCAAAATTGGAATGCACAGAAATTTTCTTAAGTGTGCTTAGTAAAAGAATGATTTTTTTTCTAGATGAAATGCTTGTCAAAGACTTCCTACAAAGCTAGATAACGATTTGATTACAGCTTGATTTTGAGTGCTGGTAGCAAGTTCTAACCGGACTATGTGGCAAATCTGGTTCTAGGGTAGTTACTAAAACAAGGAACGACCTGAAACCACCTGGAACAGCCTAAAACCACTTGAAACCACCTAAAACCACCTGAAACCACCTAAAACCACCTGAAACCATCTTGGAACCACCTGAAACCAGCCATAACATTAAATCTCCATCGAGTTTGTCGTCCAGTTGGTGTATTTTATTGTTTTTTATCGATCGATCGAGTACTTTGTTTTCATTGGAAGGTATGTACAGCATGATAGAATGCCATATAGTCGCCCATACGTATATAGTCTCCCATAGAAGTTAACATACTTATACCTCACCACTTCCTTGCTATGATTACCTGTTCCTAGCTATGA